ACAAGAAAACAGCCAACAATACAAAGACAAGCATGACACCATCAGAATCTAGAGACTCTTCACGAACTAGAACTAAGCACACCAAAGCAGATGAAACAGAAGAGAAAGAGTTGAAAACTAACTTCATAAAAATGATAGAGGCCCTCGAAGACGATATGAGAAAATAAATTAAAGAGATAGAAGAAAAAGCAAACAAACAAATGGAAAAAATAGAGGAAAAGACCAAGTAAAATATGCAAGAAATGAATAAATTTCTTAAAGAAAGTAAGGAAAGCCAAGAAAAAATAATCAAACACATGAAGGAAATAATTCAAACACTTCAAGATCAGAAAACTGAAATAGAGGGGGGAAAAAAAACCACAAAGTGAGACAATGCTGGAAATAGAAAAACTGGACAAAGGATCAGAAACTACAGGTATAAGTATAACCAAGAGAATACAAGAGTTCAAAGAGAGAATCTCAGGAGCTGAAGATAAACTAGAGTAAATAGATTCATTGACCAAAGATAATCTTAAATCCAACAAATCCTAAAACAAAACATCCAGGAAATGTGGGACACTGTGCAAAGACCAAACCTAAGAATAATAGGCATAAGAGAAGGCGAGGAAGCCCAGATCAAAGTTGCAGAAAACGTATTCAACAAAATCATGGAAGAGAACTTTCCCAATCTGAAGAAGGGCATGCCTTTGAAGGTACAAGAAACATACGGAAACCAAAATGTCTGAACCAAAACAAAATCCCTTTGCCACATAATAATCGAAACACCTAACATACAGCCTAAAGAATGAATATTAAGAGCAGTGAAGGAAAAGAGAAAGCTAACATATAAAGGCAGACCATTAAAATTGAACCTAACTTCTCCAAGGAAACTCTCAAGGCCAGTAGGTCCTCGGTAGATGTTCTACAAATAGTAAGGTCCATGGGTGCCAGCCCAGCCTACTATATCCAGAAAAGCTCTCAATCACTATAGATGTGAAAAACAAGATATTCAATGACAAAGCCAAATTTTCAAAATACTTACCTACAAATCCAACTCTAAGGAGAGCACTGGAGGAATACTCCAACTTAAGGAAGTTAACTACTCTCACCAAGACATAGGCAATAGAAAATCCCACTTCATAAGAACCCAAGTGTAAAGCAGGGCAAATATATTCAAAATACCACAGCCAACAGCAAATCTAAAACAAACAAGCATTAACAATCAATGGTCCTTTTTTTCCCTCAACATTAATGGTCTTATCTCACCTATGAAAAGACACAGGCTAACAGAATGGATATGAAGACAAAATCCATCCTTCTGTTGCATACAAGAAAACATCTAAGCTTCAAAGACAGACATTACCTCAGGGTAAAGTGTTAGGAAAAAAAATCTTCCAATCAAATGGACCCAGGAAGCAAGTAGGTGTAATTATCCTAATATCTAACAAGTTAGACTTCAAACCAATATCAATCAAAAGAGATAAGGAAGGTAATTTCGTATTCATTAGAGCAGAGATCCATCAATGCAAACTCTCAATTCTGAACATCTATGCCACAAATACAAGGGCACCCCCCATTCTTAAAGAATCACTACTAAAACTCAAAGCTCACATAAAACCTCACACACTCAGAGTGGGAAACTTCAACACCCCCTCTCTCTCCTAGACAGGACTAACAGACAGAAACTTAACAAGGAAACAAAAGAGCTAATAGAACTTATGTCCCAATTTGGTTTAACAGACATCTATAGAACATTCCATCCGAACCTAAAAGAATATACCTTCTTCTCGGGTCCACATGAAACCTTCTCTAAAAGTGAACTCATACTAGGCAATATAACAAACCTCAACTGGTACAAAATAGAAAGGAATAGTCTCACGTACCTTATCATACCATTGTGCTTTTAAGTTGACATTCAAGAACACAATTTGTAGATAACCTCAAAATCATGGAAATTTAATTATTTGCAATTGCAACACACCTGGGTCAAAGAAGACATTAAGGAAGAAATTAAAGAATCCCTTGAATTAAATGAGAATGAAGACACAACATACCTGAACTTATGGGACACTTTGAAAGCAGCGCTATGATGAAAGTTCATTGTACTAATTGCCCACATGAAGAAAACAGAGGATAGTCATGTTAGAGAATTAACTGCACAACTGAAAGCCTTAGAACAAAAAGAAGCAAACTCACTCCAGACCAACAGATGCCAGAATATAAGCAATTTGAAGGCTGAAATCAATAAAGTAGAAACCAGTAGAACAATACAAAAAAAAAATGTAACAAAGAGTTGTTTTTTGAGAAAATCAACAAGATAGACAAGCCTTTATCCAAACTAGCCAAAACTCAAAGAGAGAACATGCCAATTAACAAAATAAGACAGGAAAAGGGGGACACAAGAAAGAACACAGAGGAAATCCAGATAATTTTCAGGTCATACTTTGAAAACCTATACCCCACAAAATTTGAAGTTTAAAAGGAAATGAACAAATTTCTGGATAACTATCACTTACCAAAATTAAATCAAGAACAGATAAGCAACTTAAATAGAGCTGTCATCCCAAGTGAAATAGAAAAGTTCATCAAAATCCTCCCAACCAATAAAATAAAATAAACCAGGGCTGCATGGCTTCAGTGCAGAATCCTTCCAGGAATTCAAAGAAGATAATAAAAATACCCCTCCACTTTTTGTTTGTTTTTTTTTTCTTCCATTTCTTTAAGGGAGTACAAATTGGAAAGGAAGAAGTCAAATTGTCTCTATTTGCAGATATGATAGTTTACATAAGCAACCTGATAAACTCTACCAGGGAACTCTTATAACCACCTTAAGCAAACTAGCAGTATACAAATAAACTAAAAAAAAGAAAAATCAGCAACCCTACTATATACAGATGAAAAAAGGCTGAGAAAGAAATCAGAGAAGCATCACCCTTTAAAATAGTCACAAACAACATAAAGTATATTGGGGTAACACCAAACAAGTGAAAGACCTATATAGCAGAACCTTGGTGTCTTTAAAGTACAAAATTAAAGATACCACAGATTGGAAATATCTCTCATGCTCTATGACAGGTAACATAAACATAGTAAAAATGTCAGTCTTGCCAAAAGCAATCAACAGATTTAATGTCGTCCCAATCAAAATCCCAGCACAACAACCCTGTACTAAAAGGAACTTCAGGAGGTATCACCATCCCTGACTTCAAGCTCTGCTCTGGAGATATAGTCCTGAAAAAAGCTTGGTACTGACACAAAAATAGACAGGTAGACCAATGGAATCAAAAATCTTGACATTAACCCACACACCTATGAACACCTGATTTTTGACAAAACAGTTAAATGTGTACAATGGAAGGAGGGAAAGCATCTTCAACAATTGGTGCTGGAACAACTGGATGATCATGTATAGAAGACAGCAGAGAGACCCATGTTTATCGCCATGCCCAATAATCAAGCCCAAATGGATCAAAGATCTTCACATAAATCCAGCCACACTGAACCTCTTAGAGGAGAAAGAGGGAGGTACCCTTGAACAAATTGGTACAGGAGACCACTTCCTGAACATGATACCAGTAGCACAGACACTGAGATTGTCAATTAATAAATGGGACCTCCTCAAAATGAGAAGCTTCTGTAAGGCACAAGACACAGTTGACAGATCCAACAGCAACCCACAGACTGGGAAAAGATCTACTTCAACCATAATCTGACAGAGGGATGATCTCCAAAATACAAAGAACTCAAGAAATGAGTTACCAAAATACCAAATAACTCTATTAAAATGGGTACAGAACTGAAGAAAGAAATCTCAGTAGAGGAGATCAAAAAGGCTGAAAGACACTTTAGAATGTGTTCAATATCCTTAGCTATCAGGGAAATACAAATCAAGGCAACTCTGAGATACCATCTTACTCCTGTCAGATTTGCTAAAATTTGAAACACCAATGACAACTTATGCTGGAGAAGATGTGGAAAAAGGGAAGCACTCTTCCACTGCTGGTGGGAGTGCAAACATGTACAGCCATTTTGGAGATCAATGTGGCAGTTCCTCAGGAAAATAGCAATCAGTCTACCTCAAGACCCAGTAATTCTGCTCTGTTCAACTATGTTCCTAGCAGCATCATTTGTAATAGCAAGAAACTGGAAGCAATCTAGATGTCACCCAACTGAAGAATGGATAAAGAAGATGTGGCACATTTACACAACGGAATACTAGTATGTGGGGAAAAAACAATGGAATCTTGAAATTCACAGGCAAATTGATGGAACTTGAATAAACCACATGAATGAGGTGTCCAATCACAAAAAGAAGAACATGGTATGTACTCACTCACATATGGATTTTAGACATAGAGCAAATGATCACCAGCCTATAATTCATACTCCCAAAGATATTAGGATACAAGGTCCCTCACAGGAGGGGAAAGGAACAAGATATCTGGAGCATATTGGGAGGGGGGCAGTGAGTGGAGAGGGAGCTAGGAGAAAGATAAGGGGAAGAGAGGAAAGCTAGTGGGACTAGGAAGATTGAGTCAGGGGAGGAATAGAGGAATTATAGGTTTGAAGAGAAAATTGGCTCTTGAAAAATATCCAGAGACCTACAAGGATGACCCCCAACTAACAATCTGAGCAACATTGGAAAGGTGACCATGAATGCCCTTCCATGATAATGAGATTGATGACTAATTTATCTACCATCATAGAGCCCTCATATAGTATCTGATGGAAACAGAAGCAGACACCCACAGCTATACACTGAGTCAAATTGCAATCCAGATGTAGAGAGTGAGGAGTGATAAGAAAATGGGATACCACCAGGCTATAGAAACCCACAGAGGCAGCTAACCTGAACAAGAGGGAGCTAATGGACCCCCAAACTGATAGCTGGGAAACCACCATTGAACTGACTAAGACATCCTGAACATGGGTCTCAGTTAGAAGTTTGGACACTTGATTGCTGCAACTGTTTCTCAGCTTTTGAACACACCAGCGCCCGACCACAAGCTCTTCTTTCCAGGATGGTGATCCATGTTTATATTGCATCTTATTCTGGCTCTACAGTGATTAAGAAATAGCAGCAGGAGGTACTTGGTTTCATGGTAGCCAACAAAATAGGATTTGAAGAAAAAAATAAATATTGCAGTTAATGAAGAGAATCGGAAGTGGATGAGAGAAAAGGTACCTGAAGACAGTCGACCAGGCACAGGGTACCCCCGCCACCTCAGATTTTCAATGAATCCCAGTACCATGGGGACTATGATGCCTTCTTTGAAGCCCAAGAAAATAATGCAGTTCATGCCTTCTTGGGCTTGACAGCACCACCTGGTTCAAAGGAAGTAGAAGTCCAGGAAAAACAGCAAGCTTGAATGTTATGCGTTCTTGTATCAGCATCTTGAAAAAGAGTGAATCTCCATTGCTTTTCTAAAAACCTTGGCTTCAAAAGAAATAGGCTATACTGTTGAAATAATAGATTAGTTGATGTTCTCACATGCAAACATGCATGATTAAAATGTGAACATGGTAGTGAGAAAATGAGAGATGAAGTTAAAACTTTATGTAGATATCATAGAATAGTATTGTTATCTGATGGAAGATGTCATTCTGTAAATATGTTTCTCTTATTTGTTAATGAATAAAGCACTGTTGGCCAATAGGAAAGCAAGATAGGCAGGGCTAGGAGACAAGGAAGATTTGAGGAAGTAATAAGGAGGAGTCAGCATGTAGAGACCAAAGAGAACAGAGTTCTCCGGTACGATAAGACCAAGTGGAAGTAATTAGATTAATAGAAATGGGTTAATACTTAAGACAGAGCTAGCCAGTAAGAAACAAGTACCTGGCCAACAGTATTATATCTAATACAGTGTTTCTGTGCCTTATTTGGGGCTGGTGCGGCAGCAGGACAAGACCAGCGGAGGGGCAGAAAAACCTACTCCTAACAGTTATCTGCCAAGATATTTTATGTTCTGTAAGGATTTTACAAAAAAAAAAAAAATCTTCTTTTTTGATATTACTGTGTAGCTTAATGATATCTTCATTTCAACATCGAGGAATTAAAAAGAGGAGAAAGAAAGAAACTAATTCCCAAAATTGCCTCATTAATACTCACGAATATTTTCATGTGATGTTGCTGAAATGTATTTTCAAGTTATGTTTATGATGTGTTAGACATTGTAATTTCCTAAGATGAGTGGAACATTCTCATTCTCCCGTTGAAACAATGTGTATGTCCTGAACCACAAGTTTTCTGGTTTCAAATGTAACCTTTTATTGCACATTCAGTGATCAAAATAGTTGACTTCCCACAAGAGAATCATTGAATGCATTCCACTGGCAAATTCCTTGTTTACTGATACAGTTATAACACAATTATGCTTCTAAGTTGTTTGCATCAGTAAAACTATGAAATTTTAAGTCAGGGAAAAAAGATAGCAATTAATTTTAAATTGGCCCTTCTTGCAAAGAGCTCAGGCTTTTAACTATCCATTATATAAGATCTTGATTGTCCTTGCTCAACATTTGCTTTCCTTGGGCATTTGCTAAAAGAAATCTTAGTGGCTGTCTTCTCCTGCTTTAATATAGCTGGTGATCATAAATGCCACTCTCTCTTGATAGTTTCAGTGTAGGCAGATTTTGTCAATGCATCAGTCCAAGCAGAAAGAATCATTGCCATACTTTTATTTTGCCAGAAAGTACAAGTGTCAAAGGAAAGGAACATTTGAAATATTTTGAAGATAAACATGACCCAATTCAGTTAACTAGAAGGTATTGATAATGTATCTTTCTACTATGTTACTTTATTTTTCTGAGTGCAATCACCCTTTACTTCAAATTACTGTGTAATATCTGCTGTTGTAAGACTGCACTCCTCAAAAGTTCATTATATAATGAAGCCATAGTTTTGGTTTGTTTTTGTTTTGTTTTGCTTTTTTTTTTAATTTTATATAACCAAGTCCATTTAAATGAGAAGACATAGTTTTGTTTACTTAAAATCAAGCTTGATTTGATGCTTTAAAATAAATGTTTTTGGAAATTAACAAAAAAAAGAAGTTTGGGCACTCTAAGGGACCTCAGACAGTGAAGCAAAGATGTATATGAAAGGACATTGGGAGCACATTCCCCCATGGAGGGACACTCCCTTAACCTAGAGACAGGAGGAAGGGCCTAGTCCCTGCTCTAAATGACTTGACATATTTTGTTCATCCCTCTTGAGAGGCATCACCCTTTCTGTGGAGTGGGGAGGAATGGGATGGGAGGGTAGTCGGGGGGTGGGGGTGGGGAAGGGAATAGGAGGGAGGGAGGAAGAGAAGATGGGAGGGAGGGAGGGAGGGGAGGGAAGATGGGAGGGAGAGAGGAAAGGAAATAGAGGGGAACTGGTATCGATATGTAAAATAAGAAAAATAAATAAGTTTTAAAAAATAAATATATCAAAATGAAGACACAAAATGGAAAAAGAAGAGAGAAAATGATTGGGGTAGGATTTCACCTGGGCTGGTACCAGACTCACTTAAACGGGGGGGGGGGGGGGGGGTGAAGGGACCCAAGGGTCAGGTGAGGAGCAAGCTCTGGATGGTCCCATTTGGAGGAGGAGCAGGTCCAGTATGTGCAGATCTGACTCAGAAAGTTCCAAGGAGAGGGTGGTGCGTTGGACCCTAGCTGGCCAAACACTCACTGAAGCCAAGTGGCTTAGCAAGTCCAAGGATTAGGGGGAAGGTAGCCTCAGGATCCAATTTGTCTTTTCTATATTGTTTCTATTTCAGTTTTCAAGTCTTGAACTGTTTGAATTTTCCTTCACCTGCTTGATTGTTTTTATTCTTGGCTTTCATTGCTTTCTATAATATATTTGTTGATTTCTTACTTTCAGGGGGGTTCTTTTTCCTCCTTTTCTTCCTTTTGTGTCTTCCATTTCTTTAAGTGATGTTCTCATTACATCTTTAGGACTTATATCTTCGTCTAAAAGTTAATTTAAAGGTTGTTTTCTTCTGCTTCATCTGTGTTTGGATATTCAGGACTTCCTAGTATAGAAGCCCTAGACTCTGGTGGTGTTATTTTACTCTTTATGATGTTGAATGTGTTCTTTTACTTTTGTCTACTCATCTCTTCCTCCAGTTGATTCAGATGGGACCTTTGATTCGGAAGAAATCTTTTCCTCCAATCTGTGTAGTGGGGAATGTGGCTGAAGTGGATGATCTTTTTCTCCCAGTTGGAGCAGGGCCAAACTCCAAAGGCAGGAGATGCAGTGCTGGACTGTTTGTGGTGTGAGATGACTGCCTCCAGGTCTCTGGGCTATCTATCCCATTGGGGATGGGGTCAAGGCTCCAATGGTAGCAATGCATTGACAGATGGTTTGGGGGCTGTCCCCAGATCTCTGGAGATGTGGTGGGCAGGACAGGGTGCTGTGCCTAAGTCAAGGGACTCCAACAGGGGAGTGAGGGGCAGGAGAAGGCCCAGCATTCACCTCTCCTACTAGGGGGATGGTTCAAGGCTCACATGGCAGCAGATGTGGCCCTGAATGGTTTGGTGCTCTCCTGAGGTCTCTCAGGGAATTGATTTTAACCAAGATAACTACATGTGTCTATCTGTAATGAGAATCATGAGTTACACATTGGGTTGTGGATTGGACATAAGCAGGCTCTGTTCTTGGAATATTTATATGGTATGACCACTGAGGGAACTTGCATTAGTAGGGCTAGCTCTGCATTGTGAAAAAGCTGTATGCAGGAAATTATTTTGGCTCTCACAGAGCAAATATTTTAAGCAGTCTGCAAACCCAGAGCTAGAGCATTAGACAAAAAGAGTTTGACAGCCTTTGGGTAGTTCCATCAGGCGCAGCCATATGCTTTCTGTGCATTTAGAGGTAGGCATTGGATATAGTGGAGATGTAGTAGGAATTCATCCTGGAGAACTGATCAGGGAAATCAATTGTAGGATCTTCATCTCCACAGGTAGGCCTGAGCATGTGGTGAAGGCACTGGAACACTGGGCTGTGAGGGAACACCAGGCCAATCATGAGTTAGATAGATCTCAGTAAACACAGTGTGGAATTGAAGTGAGGAGATGGATCAAATAGGGCTAGAATTTGGTGAAACTCAAGAATAATGTGTTATGAGAGTTGAATGACTAGACATAGGATTGGAATTGCAGTTTTGAGGCTAACACATGATATTCTTGGGGAATCCCAAGACGATGTTATAGTATAGTTTGTCTATCCTGTCGTATCTACCTCGGCCAGCAAGGAAACACAACCACAACTCTCCTTCAAGCAGTTTATTCAGGAACCTTGTACATCAGCTCCTGCTTCCCCGAGTCCCAGCTAGCCTTTAAATGTGCGCTCACTGCCCAATCAGCTCATGCCACCTGGCGATCCTGGATAGGCCACAGAAGGAGGAAGCGCACCAGATCCATCAAGAACTTCCAAATAAGGCTTGTTTACAGCTAAGCTCGGACTACCTGGCATCCAGTCAGGTACCATCTTTGGGGCTGTGGCTTCCTACATATCCAAATGTGGTAGGGGTCAGTTGACTATCATAAGGAAATCTGTTGTCTGATTATGCACCCAGGTCTAGGAAATGGTCTGTGGAGATCATGCAGATGTGTGAGGTTCAGGGACACTCACCAGGCAAAGCAGCTATATAAGTCTGTGACCATGAGTAGGCCTGGAAACATGGAGATGGTTATGAAAACTGAGGTTCTTTGTAGCAGAAAATTTGGTGAAGCAATATGTCCAGCCAGGGGTTGGTATCAACATATGAAAGGCATTGGGCTGAACCAGTTCACATGTTACATACAGACAACATCAGTGAAGGAAATTTTGTCACCAGAGTAAAGACAGTATTGGAAGGGCACTGGGAAGAAGAGAATCTGGGTCACATCAAACAATGATTGCCTGATAGGTGTGCCTACAGAATGCACTAGGGAGTATGGGTACAGCACAAACATGCTTATTTATTATGGAGCAAGCTGGCAAAGCTTGTAAAGGAACTGTATGACCAGAGCTACTGTTGGGAGAGTTAGGATTGGAAAGGTCGGTAAGATGTACTCAAGATCACATTGGAAGTCTGATATATGATCAGATGTACGATCAGAACTCAGCACTTGCCATGTGCAGATTTTTCTGGTAGACCTGAAGAATGTCCATGAAGGATAAAAATTCTGTGTACCTAAACAGGAAAATCAAAAAGAAGCATGGTTATGCTCACAAGTATATGCATTAATATGGAGAGAGTTCATGTAGGATGTAGTCCATGAGAAGTCATTAAGGAATTCTTGTGTTGAGGTAAATAATGAAAGGCAAACCAGAGAACACAGAGAAGGAAACACAGATTGATTGGGGGTGGGTTGGTGTTCTGCAGGAACTGTGTGACAAGAGCTAAGTCTGGGGGTGAGATGATGAATACAGGATTGGTTCTGGGGTATTTAATGGACAACAATGATATACAATTTAAGCATCCAGAGCTAGGATGAGTTTATTTCTATGGCTCAGTTATGCACACTGCCTGCACTAATTAAAAAGTAAGGTGGTACTCAATTTCACTACCAAAGCAAGGCAGGTGTAGCAACACTGCTAGAAGTTGGTGTTCAAC